CGAAATCTGAACTTTTTGAATTTTAAGAATTTTAAACGCTTATATATAAGCGTTCAGAATTCTCAAAATTCAAAAAATCAGAAAATTCAAAACAATCAAAAAATCAGAAAATCAAGAAAATTCAGAAAATCCAGAAAATTCAGAAAAATCAGAAAAATCAGAAAATTTAGAAAATTGAAAATTCAGAATTTTCAGAATTATAATATATATATATATATAAAAATATACAGAATTCAAAAAAAACAGAAAATTCAAAAAATTCAGACAATTCAGAAATTTCAGAAAATTCGGAAAATTCGGAAAATTCAGAAAATTCAGAAATTTCAGAATTATACATATATATATATATTTAAATATAATATACAGAATTCCGAAAATTTAGAAAATTCAGAAAATTCAGAAAATTCAGAAGATTCCAAAAATTCAAAAAAAATCAGAAACTTTTATTTATTTTTTCAAGGCAAATAGAAGTCATAAACGCTATGTACGGTCTGGTGGACGGTCTGGTAATTTCCTATCTAATATAGCAATTATCTCCTCTTTAAAAAAATGACGAAAACGGAAAATCGCCAAATCTTTTCTGCGTCGAAAAAGTCTTGGGGAAAACCTTTCCTGAAAAGGATAATTCCTGAAAAGGATCGTTCCTGAAAAGAATTGACTCCGAAACGAGTAATTCCTGCAAAGGATAGTTCCTGAAAAGGATGATTCCTGAAAAGGATGATTCCTGAAGAGGAAAAATCCTGTAAAGGATCATCCCTGAAAAGGAAGTTCTTAAATCGGCAAATATCTTAACACAGGGAAAAAAAACTCAACAAAAACAATAGCCAACGTATAAATCTACGAATGAAAAAACATTCGTCTATTACCAGTTCTTAACCTTTAAAAAATAAAAAAATAAATAAATAAGTGAAAATAAGTGAAAATAAGTTCTATGATAAGTTCAAATAAGTACTAATATTTCCATTAAGTGCCTAAAGCTAAAGTGAAAATATCTTCCATTAGTGGTCTTAGTACAATTCGGTGGATCTCCTCCCTGAAGACTCGACAGCCTCGACCTATATTCCACGGGCCGCTCGTCGAGCAGTTCCCCGGGCCCATACAGTCCATACAATTTACGTCAAAAAGGTATCTCACCCATTTTCTGCTCGCCCTGATGAACTGTGGATTTTTGAACTCAATTCCGACGGCCTCGAAACCTGGCGCTCCATTGAATCCTTCTTGGGCAACCTCCACTTGTCTCAGGACCCACACACTTTGCGAGCAGTGGCGAACCAATGGAGACTTCACTACGATGTCCACCCCATCTCCAACGCAGACACGCCAGTACTGTATACATCCTGACCTACCACATTCTGAACACTCGAATGTTCGTTTCGGCCAACCTGTCTCTGCGATTCCAGAACACACCTCGATCCTTCAGGCATGTTGGGGCCGTTCAGCTCATCGACACTCTCAAGGTGCCCCAACATCCTTGTTTTGGCCTCCAACACGCCAAACGCCACCAACATCACCAACGAGATCAACTCCTTGGAATCCGACCGCTTCTATTTCAATTCCGGCTACCAGCTCCTCGCCTCAGCCTGTTCCTTTTCGGTCCGTGGTGAGCAGCAATGCAGATATGTCCGACTCCAGCATATAATCATCTTGATGCCCTTGATCAAAAAACTGACCTTGCTGATCTTGATTGGGGTGATGCCTTTGGTCACCCTTCGTCCAATTCCTATATATGTTTTTATTGGTTTCCGCAGACATGTGGTTCCTGACGTTCCATTGCCCCACGACCTTCACCTTGCGCAATGGCTCCGAAAGGATTTCGACATCATCCATATCGATCCACTATACTGATATACAAACCCCGACAGGTACCCGATCATGCTCTTGGTATGCAGGACCCGCGCGACAACCTGCTGGTGACGACCCTCCTCCAAACAGACCCATTTTGGTCATTGTGGATTACTCGGCACTTCAAAACTTGTCACACGCAAGTGAGGCAAATTCTGCAACTTGTCGAGCACTTCGCCCAGGCAATTTTCGTTGCGCCTCAACTGGAGAATAGGAAGCCCTTTTCACCTGGGCTCAACAATATTCTGCAGAGATGGCTTCAGCTGTTCCCATTGCTAATCTCCGTGTGCAGATTTGCAACCGCCTCTGGAATCAATGGGATACTCGCATGATCCCTACAGATCTTGAACTTCGCTTTACTGATCTTGACGGAGATGTTTTCCAAGTGCGAAATGGTTCCACCATTATTCGCTTGTTGGAGGAGTACAGACCTGAGTGGGTGCAACAAAATATCTTCTTACATAGCTCTCCGTTGATCCCAGGCACACCACAGCCTTTCATTTTACGACTGACTTGTCACAAAGTTCGCCAAGGCGTGACTTTACCATGATCATTTCGAGCATTGCACTGCTTCCGACGAGATAAATCGGCGCTTTGTACAATCACTTTTTGATGGCCGAGGGCTAAGCCAAGAACCCTATGTGTCGAATTTATGTGTCAACTGATGTTACAAGTTCCTTTGGGGCTAAGCCTATAGAACCCCTTTCGAACTTGTTCTGATGTTGTTCTTGCCGTTGCTTCTACATGACTTTTTGAAATTCTCGAACCTGATTTTCCACATCGCGCTCTTATTCCTAATTCCTGGATCAAAGCTGATTGGTTTACTGCCGTTACCTTGTGTCATATTCTTTTGCCCATCATGGACAGCAAACGTGATGATGCGGGTCTCCCTTGGCCTAACACGCCATTGCGACCAAATCTTAGTGGACCTCTTCTACCTGGAACTACTCCATCATCGACGAGTTCGGCACCAACATCCTCACCCGCGATCCCGGCAGCTGCTGCCTCTTCCTCGTCTCCTGATCCAGCTGGCCCTGGCACCTACGCATCGGATCCTTCTGCACATGGCGCACAGCCATTTCCTCCTGCAGAAAAACTTCTTGGGGAACATCGCAGCCATCAGAACTTTTTTACGGAGCAAACCGTCCACCAAGTGTACTTCAAGGTCTTCACTTACGAAAATCAAAGAAGAGAACTGCGGATTACGGAAATTGACTTCAGAGGCTACTCTCGAACCCGGGAACCTGAGCAATATTGAAACTTTCTGACAGGTGATGATGCATATGCTCGCCACACATCGGACTACTGGCGAGCCTTCTTCAACATCCCAACACGACACTTCGACAATCCTCATTACTATGGACATCACCACTACAACCTTCATCCAGCTGCACCACCCCCACCTTCGACTACACCATCAACAGCGGCAACCTCGCATTCTTGCAACATGGCAACATTGGCAGCACAACTTCAGGAACGACTCTTTGCACCACCTGCTCCGGGATCCAACTCAACTACGGTGATTGGCAGCCTATCTCGAACGTTGACCCACGACCAGCTCTCGGCCTTGGCCATTGGTTTGCAAGCCCTCGCCTCTTCGAGCCCTTCTGAGTCCGCTGAACAATGAAATGCAGATTAGGATCCGAGAACAGGGCGACAACGCGGTCTTCCAAAAAAACAACCCTGCTCCGGCAGGGTGTGTGTGTGCATGAAAAGATGTAAAACTTCTGAACTTTTAGTTTGTCGGTCTCATGGCTACTTTAGAGACGCCTGGCACTTATCAACTTAGAAACTAACTTAACTTGAACTTATGTTGGGGGGTGGCTAAGTTGTGTTGTAAGTTTCATAATCTTTTTGTATCGTTTTTTTGGGTTATGTTTTGTTTATTGTTTTGTTCTTCTTGCGGCGTGCGCTCCTTTTATCAACCCAGCAAGAGGAAATCGGTGTGCTTTTTGTCATTGCATTCTACGCGGTGTAGCGCGGCACTGTCACAACGCGGCAACTCTTCAACCGGCGGATGGAAAATGACGGAGTTTGGAAAAATAACAACGGGGAAAAAATGACGGATTAACTGAAAAACAAACCAAAAAGGTTTTGCAGCCGATAGGGGGTCTTTGGAATTTGATTCTAGGGTCCTTGGTGATTTAGTTCTACCTCTGATTGTGTGAAATATGTTTTCCATTCTTTATTTCTTTATCTATCTTATCCATCAAGGTAGGTGGCCTTGGTATATACTAATGAAATGATCCCAAAGGAAAGATCGTCTTGGGTTAGTGTCCCTTGGATGTTTCAATATATTGTTAATTCTTATCCGCCATTCGGTAATCATGACAAGATGGGGATTATATAATACTTGGTGGTTCCTTTCTGCTAGTGGAACTTGCATGTAACTTGCAGCTGGGTTACAAGTTGGGTGTAACAGCCTTGTAAGTGTCGCAAGTTTTGCAAGTTCGGGAGCTGAATTTGGATGAGTTATATGTATGTTATTGGACGTGAAGAAGTTGCTAAGTTCTGCTAAGTTTTTTCACTGATGCTTAAAAATAGTCGAAAAAGAACTTACAAGTAACTTAGGGAAGTTAACTTTTTCAATGTAAAAAATCATAGATTTCAATTGTGTTTTCGATTCTCTTCTTTAATGGCTTGGCGTGGAGAGATCTTATATGTTGCTAGAATGCCAAAAAAATGGAACTCGCAAAACATTGCGAATCTTGTTTTACGTTTCGAAACGGCTGCGCTCCAATGTTTGAACACACGTGGGCCAATGCAATGTTTAAACATGTCGAAACCTTTGTTATCAATGGAGCGGCGCGTTGCGCCGCTTATTTTTCCACATGTTTCCGAGTCGACATGTATTCTGCGATGACTTTCTATATACTCTGTCTGTGGAAAAAGTCCGCGGACCTGCGACATGCAGAGTGATGTAGCGGCGCTTTGCGACGCTTTAGTATATACCTTGTCGATGCATCGTGTCAACTATACTTTGTTGCATAGAGAGGCGCGTTGCGCCGCTGGTTTGAGTTGTTGCATTTGTTTTCGATAGGTTGTCGTTGCGGCGCACTGCGCCGCGATCGGTTGAAGACCTGTGACTGACTGGTTTCGTAGTTTTGGGGCCCAGTTGCCTGCGCAATTGCGCCGGCCAGCTGCTTCTCTTTGTAGCAATGGCGGTCGAAAGGCTTAAGGCCTTAGACCGATACCTGGAGGAGCTCAAGGACTCGGCCGAATTTCCGACGATTTTGGAACAGCAGTGTTGCCAGCTCAACAAGGAGCTGAGAACTTTGGAGAAGTTGGAACTCACAGATGCTACCCCCTTGGTGTCTCAGATCCAACAGAGCCAACGTTGGACGTCGGCCCACAAGGAGACTTTGCTTGGCACCATTCACATGAAGGTGCAGGCGACGACCAGTCAGAAGATATATCGCTCGCGAATGCCGATGCAAGATTACAGCTTGTTTCCTTTGTATCTAACCTCTGCTGACTGGCAGGTTGTTCAGGACAAGCATGCCAATGTGGTCCAAAGAAGCACTTGCTTGTTGAACCGTCTGTGGGCCTTGGGAATGCGCACACTGTCTGAGCCTACAATTGCTATGATCACTGTGGTTCTTCTTTTGTGCGAACCAGAGCGACTGAACGATGGCCTTCAGCTACGTTCAAGCTACATCACAGTCAAAGGGATGGTCAAGCAGTTTTTGGAGGGGCAAGGATCAGACCAGGCTTTGCCAGAAGTGCTTGTGAAGTTGCCGCCTACAGTGGGCGCTTTGCCTGATGTGTTCTCCAAGGCTGCCTACGCTGAAGGAGATCAACCTGGTCCAATGCCTGCAGGCATTTCCATTGAAGGGCTCAAGTCGCTTGAAAACATGGTGTCGCTGCGCAGCAACAATGCCAAGCTGCTTCCATTGCAGGTGCCTAAGGCTGCTAGCTTTCCCATGATGGATCAGGCTATGACTATGGGGGCATCAATGGTGGCAATGGCAATGGGTTGGACTCAACGTGCTTTAGTTCAACCGCCTGTGATTCCAGGACATTTTTGCTTTGATTGCCTGTAGTTTGGAGTGGTGTTTAGCGTGTAGCGGCGCAATGCGCCGCTGTCTAAGGCGTGTTAATTTTTTAGATGTGCTATATCTCTATATAGCGGCTCATGGAGCCTGCTAATACTTGATGTATGAACCCAACCAGGCTTTGACTCGCCAAAGGATGTGGAGCGGCTTCAGCTTCTTTTCCTCAACAGCAATTGGCTTTGATGCCTCCGGCAGTCACTCCTGTGGCGATGCCTGCTGCTCCAAATGTGGTGCCGCCTGAGACCATGAAGCCTTTGCCTGCTCCAACAGCGGCACTCAAGGAGACCAACCTACATCGGCTTGAAGTGGTTGCCCCTGATGATTCACCGAAGGAAGCGGAGAAGGTCAAAACCCCAGTGAAAGTGAAAGCGATTGAAGACAAACCGAAAGATGCGAAAGAAAGTGTTGTTGCAGAGGTTCCAAGTGCCACAAAAGCTGCTGAGATGTTGGAACAGGCTATGCATGATCGCGAAGACGACAAGAAGCGAGGAAAGGAGATGGACAAGAAGAAGGGCCACGCTACCAAGACGGAGACGAAGGTTTTGAAGAGACCAGCTGCAAAGCAGCACAGCACAGCACCAAAAATGTTGAAAAGACCAGCTGCAAAGCAGCACAGTACAGCGCCAAAAATTTTGAAAAGAGAAGCTGCTGCTTGTGTGTCTAAAGTTGGTAACAAGGGGCCAATTCCTAGCAAAATGCTGCGTGCCAAATGGCGACCCGAAGGGTGCAGCAAATGCCGCTGGGTTCGTGGCTGTTGCAATTCGTGCTGGGTAGGCAGAGGCTATCGAAAGGTTTAGACTTAAATCTTCACTTCGACGATGGCCGGTATAAGGTGGGATAAAAAAGGAGCTGATTATATAGACCTGGAAGTTTCAAAGGCTGGCGGCTCAATGAGCCGCCTTATTCTTTTACTCACTAACTTAAGAATGCATCCCAGATCGTAGGGTATTAGTTTGTAGGGGTTTGCCCGTTCATGATTTTCAGGAATGCCTACCTGATCTCAGAAATGCCTAGGTGATTTGAAAATGACATAGGCATTTCTGAAATTTAGGTAGGCTAATCTGAAATTTGGTAGACTAATTTGTTGTCCAGAACGTTGTGCAAACAAATGTGGTTTCATTTTTTTTACAAAATATAAAAAAACAAAATATTTTCAAAAAGATAAAATCTAAAATATGGTAAAACGTTGATTGAACGTTTACCTGCGGTTGTGTTATTATTGTGAAGAGTCTTCTTAGTAGACCTCACCTGCGTGAATTGAATCATGTCATTGCTTCCATCATGTGTGTGACTTGTGTCAATTGAACAGGTCAATCATTACTTCTGTCAAAAAAAATAAAAAATCACTAGGCATGCCATGCCCAACATGCTTTGACCCAAGCATGCACCAAGTGAGCAAAAGATCCAATTAGTCAGTCAGTTTCAATTGACACAATTGCCACTTCCAATTAGTCAGTTAATTGTTTCAATCGACACAAATTCTATCTTTTAGGTTATTTCATGTTCTGTCTTTTAGGTTGTTTGCCTGTTTGCCTAAATAGTTTTTTTAGCCGAATAACCTAAAAACTGTCTTGTTTGAGACTTTGTTTTTTTTTCACCAAACTATATGTTCAACAGTTTAAACCAAAGACACAGTTTTTTTTCCATATTTGTTTCCTTTGGATTTTTTTAATTACATGTCTTTTTGGCAAATAGTTTTTCAAATGTTTTTTCATTGTTTTGTGAGTGATGTATGTCGCTTTCTTTTGATATATGCGGGTCTGAAGTGATTTTTTTGTGCTAAAGTGAAGCCTTTTGTGCTAAAGTGAATCTGTAAATTTCAGCCGGATATGTTTAGGATGGGGCAAGCCAACACAGCATGGAAGCAACAAAACCACATGTCCAAAACAATATATGAGCAAATGGGTGTGTTTCAACATGAAGTGTCCTTTTTTGACCCCAAAATGGTTACGTTGAAGGGAAAAAAGGTCACCACGTTTTCAGACATACCGAAACAAGAAAAAAAACATGTTTTGCAACAATGGCAGTGGATAGTTTTTGGGAGCGCCAATTGGCACAGGATGAAAAAAGAAAAACACGAAGAACAATGAAACCAACAAATGCAAAAACAACAACACAAAGTAATAAATCAAAACATGTGAAAACAATTGTCCAAAACCTAACTTGTCAGCTGCATCGTTTATGAAACTCAGAGGAGTTCATGTGAATTCGCGGGTGCTCATTGCTCATGGGGTGTTCATGTGTGTTTTTCATTTTGTTTGGCTGCCACCCATTTAGCTTACTCAGTGGGTTTCCATGCCCAAAAAGAAAAATCAAAGTAATTTTTAGCGAGGTTCGTGCGCGCTTTTTGGGTATAAAATGGCTGTCCCCCGGCCCGCGAACCCAACCAAAAAAATAAGTTTAGACACTTGCTGATTTGGTTGGTGGTTTCGTCTCCTGCGCTGCTATTTGGTTGCAAAACCTGTATATACCTTGGTGAACAGATGGAAATCCCCGAGTTCTTGGTCAGCTTGGACTCGATGGTTATTTGTTTGTTTTCAACATAAATTTGGGGCTAGAGAACCCCAAATCATTGGCACACCCTGGTTTTGAAGGTTTTTTTGACATCAACTTGAACGTTGGCCAGTAACAGATTCATAAACAAAAGCTGTCAAGACTGGAAGGTTTTTCACTTGTAAGAAAGTAGTGGCAAACACAAAATGTTTGAAGAATTGCTTGGTGAGGACTGGTTGAGTTGTATTCAAGTTGTTTTTGCAAAAACTAAACGGAGCAATCCAGCCAAGACTTGATCAATCACTAAGAGGGCCTCCATCCCTCAAACCTTTTTACATCAAACACCTGCCCAGAGATTTGCAATCACCTGGGGCTCGCCATTCTTGGCCTTTCTCCCAATTGAAAAACCCAACGAAACCACCAAACAATACAAGTGACTTGAGGTGATCAGCATTCATGTCTTTGAGGCAAGTAAACCCAGAATTTACCCAAAATAAAGAGAAGGGTTGTCAATCCCAGAGCCCACCCATTGCTACGTTTTTTTCCTCAAACCTATTTGCAAGAACATGCAATCCAACCCAGAGTTAATCAATCACTTGGGCCTTCCCGTGCAAACCCATTTCCTGAAAATAAATCCAATTGTTTTGCAGTGACTTGGGGCGCTGCAGTCATCAAATTCATTCACATGTGCATGGGAAAATTTCTCCCAGAAAGTGTACGGTTGAAGATTTGTTGATGGAAAAAAAAATGATTGACCAAACATTCTTTTGACAAAAAACATTAAAAAACAAGTTTTTTAAAATAAAATCATGATTTTTGCTGAATAAACATCATTTGCTTGACTGAAAACCAATATTTTTTTGAATAAAATCACGTTTTTTTGAATAAATCCAGAATTTGTGTGAATAAATCCAATATTTGAAGATTTTCAAGGAAATGGGGTGTAAGTTTGATGTAAGTTTGCATCAAACTTACACTTTTGAGGTGTAAGTTTACATCAAATTTACACTAAACTTACATTAAACTTACACAAAAGTGTAAGTTTACACCAAACTTACATATCAAAAGTGTAAGTTTACATCAAACTTACACATACAAGTGCAAACTTACACTTCTCAGTGTAAGTTTGATGTAAACTTACACTTTTGATATGTAAGTTTGGTGTAAACTTACACTCTTGATGTGTAAGTTTAGTGTAAGTTTGATGTAAACTTACACCCCAACAGTGTAAGTTTGATGCAAACTTACATCAAACTTACACCTCATTTTCTTGAAAATCTTCAAACAATCTTGGATTTATTCAAAAAAATATTGATTTTATTCAAAAAATCTTGGTTTTTAGTTAAAAACAATCATCTTTATTCAAAAAAAAATATAGATTTTATTCAAGAAAACTTGATTTAAAAAGAAAAAACATGTGTGTTTTCAAAAAAATGTTTGATCAGTCATTTTTTCCATTAAAAAAACTTCAGCCAAACACTTTTTCGGATAGATTTTCCCATGCACATGTGAATGAATTTGATGACTGGAGGGCCCCAAGTCATTGCAAAACATTTGGATTTATTTTCAGGAAATGGATTGGCATGGGAAAACCTAAGTGATTGATTAACTCTGGGTTGGATTGCATTTTCTTGCAAATAGGTGTGAGGAAGGAAAAAAAAGTAATGGATGGGCTCTGGGATTGACAACCGTTTTCTTTCTTATTGTAAGCATGAATCTGAAAACTGCAAAACCCAAAATTTAATGGCAAATTCCAGGTTTGGCTGTGTAGAAAATGTGAATGCTGAGCACCCCAAGTCATTGTTTGTTTTTGGTCGCATTTTTTTTGGCATAAATGTCAAGGATGGAGAGCCCCAGGTGATTGTTAATCTTTGTGTTCGTTTTCTGATATCGAGGGCTGGAGGCCCTTTAGTGATTGATCAAGTCTTGGCTGGATTGGCCGTTTAGTTTTTGCAAAAAAAATTGAATACAACCAATCCTCACCGGGACTTTCTTCTTTTTTTTGCCGACCATTGCTTTTTGACAAATGAAAGGCCATCCAGTCTTGACAGTTTGTTTTTACAAAACTACTGCTGCCCGAACTGATTTCAAAAAAGGCCCTTTCAAACCCTTGGATTGCAGATAATTCAAGAAAGAAATCAGCCCAGGGCTGGGACCTCCATCTCAAGTTTTTTTTAGTTGAAAGAAAGTGGATGGCAGCAAAGCAAAACGACAAACAAACAAAAACACATGAAGACCCATACACACGCATGAACAACCATGAACATCCATGGACACCCATGAGCACTTGAGCGCGCATGAGCACCCATGAACTCACATGAATTCGTGTTTTTCCAAATGCAATGCAGCTGGCAAATTGTTTGTTGGATCGTATGTCTCACAGTTTTTGAGTTTCTTATTTTGGGTTGTTGGCTATCTATGTGAGTTTTTGATTTAATTGTTTTTTCCTTGAACTGAACATTAATTTTATTTTTATGTTTTATATTTTTTTGGTTCTGTCCTGCGGTGGCCTCGCGTTCCAATTGCTGATTTTTGCAAAACATGACTTTTAATTTATATAAATATAGTTATTTATCATTTATCTATTTATTTATTTATATATTTATTTATCTATTTATTCATTCAGTATATGTATATATATATATATATATATGTAGTGTATGTATATATGATTATATGTGTATATATATATATATATATGTTTGTGTATACATGTATATATATATATATGTGTAAATTTATGTTTATTTTTTAAATACATACATATATATATGTATATGTATATATAAGTGTGTGTGTGGGGGGGTTGTCTCAAAATGGGGTGTCCTTCTTTCCTCTCAAAGAACCCTTTTTGGAACCAAAAAAAGACACCTCGTTTTGAGACATATCCATGTATATACAATATATTTATTTGTTGACATGTGTTTTTTGTTTCTATCCTGTGTTGGTTTGTCCCATCCAAAAAATATGTTTTCTGGTTTTCTTTTGTATGTAGTTTTTTCAGCATCATTTTATCGGAAAAATGTATCAAATCAAAAAATGTTTCATTGGAGATTGCAATATAGATAGATTTTTTATATATAAAGAAAACAAAGTGTCCCCAAAAAAGGGTACCAAAACAGGTTATTCATATAAATAACCTATAAGAAAAAAATGGTTATGCATATAAATAACCTAAAGAAAAAAGGTTATTTGATCATTCTGACTATTAGGTAAAACAGTTGTTTTACCTAATAGGTAAAAACAAAATTTAACTAATAGTCAGAAAACAAGATATAACCTAATAGATAGAATTTAGCCTAACCAGAGCTTTTGGGTAACTACATTATTATCATGCATCGTTTTAATTCTATCGCCTAATCATGACTTGCACACCATGCAACTTTATTGCATTATTATCATGCATTGTGTTGATTCTATCACCTAATATGTCTCAATATGTCTCAATCTGTCTCAAAATGTCTCAAAATGTCTCAAATTCACCTCAAAATTTCTCAAAAGGGCATTTTCATTTTGAGACATTTTGAGACATTTTGAGCATTTTTGAGCAATTTTGAGCCATTTTGAGCCATTTTGAGCCATTTTGAGCAATTTTGAGCAATTTTGAGCAGATTTTTTGGGCATATAAGTACTTTTTAAGCAATTTTGAGCAATTTTGAGCAGATTTTTTTGGGCAGGTATAAGTACTTTTAAGTACTTTTGAGCAATTTTGAGTAGATTTTTTTGGGCAGGTATAAGTATTGTTTATAAACAATTTTGATCAATTTTGAGAAATTGATACAAGTATTCATAGTTTTGAATATTCATCTCCATGCACTTGACATTAATATTTTTTTGTCATTTTTTTGTCATTGTGAATTTCACGTGGTGAATCGTTGTAAGACACGTTGATGTGACATGAGGTTAGCACGACTCACTTTTTACTCAAAAAGTACTTTTTGAGATGCCCAAAAATCCCTACAAATTAATCTCCCCACAAGCTGGTCGCCATTCCGAAGTTTGTGATTTACGTTTGATTCCAAACACACGGTCATTGGAAGTGCAAAAGCAACTATCTAACTTGTGGCAGATGATATGGTTGGCTGTTTGAATCTATATGTTCAGCGAGGCTATATATTAATTGCGGCGGCTCGTTGAGCCGCCAAGATATCGAATATGTTAATGTAATTTCTTTAATACTGGTCTCATTGTTACTTAGAGCAGGTCGGCAGCTCCTTGAGCCGCCTGAGCAAAACATACATGGGCAAGGCTAGGGTTTGAGTTTTTAATCTTAAAAGATGAACATGAGTTACACATATTGTAGAGATAAAAAATGAATCATATAACTGTCTTGTATTTAGCCTTTAATGTTCAAATGCCTTTAGGATTTTACGAAGCCTGGGACGCTGCCGATAGCGAAGGGCTACTTGATTTTTACGATGCTTGGGACGTAGCAGAACCTTCTAGCAGCAGTACGCAACCGCCACCTGCTCGGGTACCCCGTGAAGAAGATGAAGCTCATAGGGCTGGGAAGGCTGGCAAAAGAAAAAGGAAGCTTCCAAAGCCGCTGAAGCCTAAGACCGAAGAGATAGCTGAAGAAGGACAACAAGATTCTGGGCCAGTTGCAGTTCCCATCGTAGCCAACCGTGAGAGTGACACGGAACCTTCGTCTGAACATGACGCCAGTGACAAGAAGGAGGTTGCATGGTATCGGTACCACATGGCTTGGCAAGAGGTGAAGGCTGAAGCTGATGTGGCTGAACCTCTGCCATCACCCCAGGAAGACTATGGCGTTTCGCAAGTGGCCGAAGCCGCGGTTCACCTCACGTTGGAGGAGCAAGCTGCAGCAAAATGTCTGGCTGCCATCGCGGAGGCTGTGGCTGGGACTTTGCCGGGTAACGATGTGCCTGGCTGCCAAACAAAAGATGCCTCTCGACCTCCAATGCCTTTGAAGGTTCAAGCTCCGGCCATCTTTGCCCAACCAGTGACGCCTCCCAAGACAAAAGCCGACCTGCAGAGACCTGTGACGCCTCCCAAGGCAAAAGCCGAACCGCGGAGACCTGTGACGCCTCCGAAGGCCACTGCTCCACAGCCACCGTGGGCTCAACCAAGGCTGTTGCCTCCACCGCCCAAGCAGCAAGCAAGTAGTTCAACAAGTGCCGCAGATGCTGCAGCCCAACCTTTGGCAGGGACGACTGCCTTGCCTCCAAAAAGGCATGCGTGGCCAAAGGTGCCAGGCCCGGAGCCTAAGCCTCAGGGCCCCCCTCCACCTCCACCTCCACAAGACAATGTGCCAGAGTACCGGCAGGTGAAGCACAAAGCTGGAAAGCAGCATGAAGGCTATTTCTATGTTTCTTGGCTGATGTATTGATACGTTATTGTGGTGGTGCTGGTTGTGGTGGTGGTGATGCTTTGGAGTTGGCTTTTGAGAATGATGTTGATTGAGCCTAGATAATATTCAATTGGAAGCCAAGAGGAGTATAGTTTAATATAGTTGTGTTGTTGGTTATGTTTGAATATCGTTTCTTCGTGTCTATTTGAGGAGATGTTTGGTGGAAAAAGACTATTCGAAAGAATGGTACGAAATCAGCATAGACGACGGGCTGGCAGACAAGTGAGAGAAAGACAGGAAGCAGAGGAGGCATGGTTTTGAATCTGCCGTAGAAAAGGACAGCGGATGAGCGCTGGTGTAAAGCTTTGTTATAAAATGTACAGGCGGCCCATTGGGCTGCCTTTAGATTCTATCATGTTGGTGTATTACATTGTCAGTTCAACAGTTCAACCTTCCAATTATGTCAAGTTTTCAATGAATAGTCACATCGATATGGATATCATCACGTATGGCGGCTCATTGCGCCGCTCAACTTCATCTAGCATGTGCCAGGCCCACCGCTCAACTTTGAGCGCGTTCTTTTTTCAACATGGCCGCTCAACGAGTATGCATGTGGGGCCTGCATTTGCAGTGCTTGTGACCCCTCTCTAAACGCACGCACTGTCGACCGCAAATAATGCAGGCACCGTGGCAGTTCTGCACGTGGTAAGGTGCTTGGTGACCTTGGGCAGGTTGAGGTGGCCCACATTGTTCCTCAACGTCAGCATCCAAACCAGGTGGAGCCCCGTCGTTGCCCACTCTTCTGCCGATTGCCCTTGCCACAGCAATCAAAATCTGAACCAACTGCCACAGTGATAAACCATCCAAGCAGGGCAAGCGTTCCATCTTTTGAACATGGAAAGGGATAACGGTAATGCTGAAGCCAAAGTCTAGCGCAGCGATATATATAAAATGAATTAGTTTCAGGAACACCAGGTTTGAAAACAGGTGAAGCTTCCATGTATAACTTGAGGCGGCCCAATGGGCCGCTCTTGCGTTGCCTTGATGTGATTGTTTTGCCATCCGATGTTGTAGAAGAGGCGGCTCATTGAGCCGCCATGTGTTTTTTTGTACATCAGTGATTTGAGACATTGTTTTGGAATATGCAAGATTGATCGCAAAACAAACGTATTCTAAGCATATCTACTCTTCCCATGCTTGCCTAATGTCAAGATTTTTTTTGCTCAAGACCGTTTTAATTTTGGCACTTCATCCACCTTTAGACCCAATGGCTGAAAGGGACGACCGCCCTGAGTATGGCTTCGTGATCCTTAGCAATGGAGAAATCCTTCGAGGACGCAACCCATACTCCTACACTGAAGATCAAATTGCCCGTTGGTATGGAAAGTGGATTGTGATGAAGATGCAGGGTTGTTTTGATTCCCCAAAGGCACAGCCACTACGCGTTGCCAATGAGGATGCTGACACCCAGCAGACCGACACCCAGCAGACCGACACCCAGCAGACCGCCGAGTCCAAGAAAACGGAGAAAACAAAGGAGAAGAAACAGAAGTGAGATGTTCACTCGGTCAAATCAGTTTTGATGTCGTTGTCGATGCTGGAAAAAATGCTGCCATGTTTGCATGATAGATGTCGGCTTAACAAATGTTGCAAGTCAACTTCAAATCACAAACCAAACATGTTCCAATCACAAGTTCAAACATACCTTGAAAACATGACAACACTGTGAATGTAATTCAACTCGTTTCACATGTATCTGATTATCACAAACAACACAAAAAACCAAATGTATAAAAATGTATAAAAATGTATAATAATGTATAATAATGTATAACTATGTATAACTATGTATAACTAAAACGGGGTTCGAGTTATACATGTATAACTCAAACAGAAATGAAGTTATACATGTATAACTCAAACAAAAACGAAGTTATACATGTATAACTCAAACAACAAAATGTATAACAATGTATAAAAATGTATAAACATGTATAAAAATGTATAACTAAGTGTAACATTTTTCACCTTGTATGAATATTTTTATGTTGATGTTTCGAACCATACTGCACTATGCAGAGTGAAAAGATGTTCAAATCTGTCATTTTTTTTCAAGCTTGCATATTTTCTGAATCACTAAACGATCATTGCAATGCCACTTCACTTTATACTTTTTTCAAAGTTGAATCTTCAGACTCAAACAATCTTAGATTTGACTTTGTAATTTTTAAAATTTTAATCTTAAGACTCAAAAAATCTTGGATTCGAAGGCGGCTCATTGAGCAGCCCAGCTAATTCTCAAGTTCAGTTCACTGAGGTCCTGCTGCAATGAAATGTTCAATGAAATGTTCAATGAAATGTTCAATGAAATGTTCAATGAAATGTTCAATGAAATGTTCAATGAAATGTTCAATGAAATGTTCAATGATTAGTTTCAATCCCTTGGGATTAGTTTCAAGGCGGCCCCATGAGCAGCCAGTTCCCATCTAGAGAAGTACCATTACTGCGGCCCATTGGGCCGCAAAGTCGTCTTCAGCTATAACAAAACATTTATTATACGTTCGGTTTCTTAGCAAAATTTGGTTTCAAGCTTTACTGCCTGCCTACTTGGTTGCCATGGCTGAAGTTCCTACCATTGAGATTCCGGAGACCCAGGTTGCTGAGGACTCTCAAGGAGACCAGGGACAAGATGCCAACACGCAGATGTACACTGACTCCATGATGAATAACAATGGCACTGAGCAGAAAGATGACCAACACTGGCAGGATGCCCAGAGTCAAGAGACTTTCAATGGAAATATCCAGCCAGGACAAGGTGAAGTTTCTCAGGAGGAGCCTCAAGAAGGGCCTACTCAAGTAGTGCCAACTGAGGATCAGGATCCAGAAGTTTCACAGCTTGTGCGCCAAGGAGCTTTCTTGGAGGAGGAGGACAATGTCATGATCACTTGCAAAAAGTGCGGTTGCAACTGCGATCCCTCCGAGTGCATCATCAGAAATCCATCCGAGAGCTGGTGTAAACAATGCAATAGCTTGTACACCATGCTTCAGCGCCACATGGCGTGGCCGCCCAAGGAGTTCCAAGCTCTGTCGGGAGAACAACAAATGAATTTCTTTCTCAAATGTGCTCAAGAGAAAGCTGCTTCTGGCAAAAGCCAGTTCTCCTACTCTCGAGTCCGTGAGAACCTTACCAAGGTCTTGGTTGACGAAGAGGTTAGGGCCACGAAACTGGAGGTCGGCGGCACCTACTGGCCGAAGTCAGTCTACGAAGCCAAGGGATATGAGCTGGATAGCGACTTTGAATCCCGAGTTCCCCGGCAGTGGAGCTACTCGCTCAATTGTTGGACCTATCTTCTGTGTGAAACAACCATTCATGAAACGCATCTGAAGCAAACGGTAGAACGTTCAGTGCTGCAGGCTGAGCAGGCCGTGAAAAAGAGGCGCCGCCCAGAAGCCTTGGCACCTGCAGAGGCCGAAGCTTTGGAACAGAAGTCGACGGTGTCGGATGCCACCATGGTCTTGGATTTGCTCAGTGAGAGTGGCTCTGAAGATGGAGCAGGCGCAGCATTTTTTTTCAACAACAGTACTGATTGTGGAATCCTTGCACCATTTCCAAACACGGTTTTGAATCTCCTTCCTTAGAACTATACCAATTGATTTATCCATTTTTAAAACGGTTTTTAACTTCAAACACAATTTTGAAATGATTCAGACCCAACTCTAGACTAGCCAACCAAATCGTTTGCATAGACCTGCGTAGGATGTACATGTCAATATACATATTCAAATATATACACATATAAATAACGGTTTGTATGTTCATAATCCAACATTTAGATTATACAATCTTTTTCAAACAATATATTGGATGTATACTGGTTTCAGTGCAACCACATGGTTCATTTTGTCGAAATGGGCGGCTCAATGAGCCGCCTGATGGAAACATGGTTATGGTTGTTTTACGTTCCTGGTAGCAGGTGGCAAGAACTCCAAGGACAATGTCTCAAAGCGCCGCAAAGGTGCCGACGCCAAGGAGGATGCGACCAAGGGATTGACTGGGAAGAAGCTGGAGCAAGCCTTGAAGAAAGAAGCTGCTAAGGCAGCCAGGGATGAGGCAGCCGCCACAAGGAAAGCAGAGGCTGAGCGCAAGAAGGTGGCGAAGCAAACTACAAAGAAGACTTTGCAGCTTTCCACGAGGTTCTGCCAGCCTTTGACCAACGCGTTCACGACAGCCTATGATGTGTTCAATAAGGCTCGATGAGCCGCTGCATCCATGAGGTCAAAGCAAGTCTGGTATACGGAACAATTTGCCATTGGATGTTGTTGCTGAACAAAAATGTGTGAAACGCATCGGCTCAGCAATGTCGAAAGCTTCCCAAAAGCGGAAGGCAGCCCATGGCACTGCAAATGAAGTTTGCCACGACACTTTAGGTCTACACAGTGTTTCTGATGATTCCAGACGAAAAATCTACAACGCCACCTGCAGGGCTTTGAACAAAGAAGAACACTGTCTGGAAGCCAAACCATGGAAACAAATTTCAGAAAATGTTTTAGCAGATGTCTTCTACCCGGTGGAGTTGCCTAGCGTGCACGATGAAGGCAGCGTGACATTCTTCATGGGTGATGTTCGAAAATCTTTGCAAACTGTGATGGATCAATGTCCAAATTACCGACAACAGGTCGAAAAAGTTTTGATCAGTCATCTTGGCCTTGTATTTGATGTTTTGCTTTACAATGATGAAGCAAGTGGAGGTAACATCCTCAATCCCAATGCTTCGAAGAAGGTATCACTGTGGTACTACTCTCTGGTACAAATCGGTTTCCTCTTCAGTGACTGTGTGTGGATGCCGCTCTGCCTACTACAGCACTCAAACTTCGATCAAATCAAAGGTGGCTTTGCGGCTTTTGCCGCCAAAGTAATCCGAGAGCTGATGAGCCAAGACTTGGACAAAGGATTCCCTGTTACTTTTAGCTACGGTTTGGGGCTGCTTCGTCTTGACCTCAAGTACATGCTGAGTGATTTGGACTCGATCAGGGGGGCCTTGGATGCAAAAGGCTCGGCTGGGATCAGATGTTGCCTTCACTGCAAAAACGCCATCAAAAGGGGTACAAACCTCTCGGAGTACAATAGTTTTTTTCAAGACATTTCGAACCACGATCTTTCTGCGTTTCATGAACAAACAGATGCTGATATTTTTGCCATTGTCGATGGCTTGGTGCTTCAAGCGCCAAACCTTGGGAAAACCGCCTTGCAAAAAAAAGAAACAGCTTGTGGTTTTAACCACAACCCTCATGGCTTGCTATGTGACCACTTTGGTCGGGAGATCCTGCCGCCTTCTTCCTTTTTGCTGGACACGATGCATCTATACTACAGTAATGGTATAGCATCTTGGGAAGTGGTTCAAATGTATGGTGCCTGGAAGGAGTTTCGTTTGGGTGACTTGCCAGCGTTTTTAGACCTTGATTGGAAAACCTCTTTGCAAAGTAGCTGCGCTCCATCGTGGCGCAAAGAGTTGGGTCATGAGTCCATGTTTGCGAGCAGCAGCTACAAGGGTAGCGCTTCCAACCTTATGGCCTTTGTCCCCTTGTTCCACTACTTTTTGACTCGGGTTCTTGCCTGCCGTCTCAGGATTGGAGATTTACAAAAGGAACTGGCTTGTTTCAGCAAGCTACGAGAAGTGCTCATGGAACTCAGGCATCTTCAAAATGCTGATTGCGATGGTCCAGCAGTTGACAAGTTTCAAAGCCTGCAAGTGGAACACCAAGAGTTACTGGTGTTGGCATATGGGAAGGAAGTCGTGAAACCGAAGCACCATTGTCGTTTTCATCAAGCCGTGCAAATGAAAAGAACAGGCTGGCACGTCGATGCGTTTGCAACAGAGAAGAAACACCGAATGTACAAAAGCCACATCGGGTTGCACAGGTTCGACCCCTGGTGTCAGAGTGACAAGGGAACATTCTCTCAACTAGTTCTCAGGGCCATTTGGCAGCATCACGTTCCTTCACTGAAACATTTTGAGTTTGGCACTACTTTGCAGGGACCAACTTCGTCTGAGCCAACAATTGCCAAGATTCTCAACAAGAGCTGGTGCAAAACCAGCTGCAAAATGGTTCATCGTGGTCGAACCTTGGAGAAGGATCACATTTTGTTGGGACAACACCCTGGCATCATTGTTCTGGCTGCCGAAACCGATGCTGGATTCTACATCTTGCTGGAGGAGCTTGAGTTGATTGAAAAGACCCATTTCTTTTCACGTTTTCAGGTCCAATCCAAAAAAAACTTTTGGCTTTGGAGAAGGCCGGTCCAAGTCCTATGTGGTGGTTGAAGCTGGACGTCGACATTTTGCTCTGCTTGCATTAGAAAAAAAAGCTGCTTTCGACAATAGCCAGATGCTTTCGATAATTGCAGGCGGCTCAATGAGCCGCCGCATCAAATTATACACTGGTACATATGTTAAGTATACGCCATAGAAAACACAGCGGACAAGCGAATATACACAACGAATTGCATGTAATTCTGTAGACTGCAGTTGTCATTCTTTTCATGGTGCGTTCCAACCAGCGAACACGTCCAGTATAAGTCATGCCAGGCGGCTCACTGAGCCGCCGTGTCTAGCAAATAGTTTTGAATTGAAGCGGCTCATTGAGCCGCAAAAGCTTGCAGCGTCTCAACAGAAACGATTTGGTCGAAATCCCCGAAGGGTGTTTTGATTCTAGAGAAAGGCATCAAAACCAAGCAAGTTGATCTCTCTTCACGCCAGCCTTTTTAGTAAATAAAAATAAAATAAGCTTTTTCTTAAAGCTTTTCTAGCTTCAAAACAACTTAAAGAAGTTACAAGTTCAGTAAGTTAAACTTAGAGAATTTAAGGGCTAATATTAAATTACAATTAAACCATAACTTCACTAACTTCACTTGCAACTTCTCCAACCACGACAAGTGCCGCAACTAAGTTGCAACTTCTGTAACAAGAAAGGAACCACCAAGTAATTAGTGTCTCCATCCATTTACCTTTCTATTCGTGAAAGTGCCAGTCAGAACAAAGCATCACCATGCGATCGTAGTTCAAATAGTTTTTTTGGGTTGGGTACTTTGATAAAATATAAAATATATTATCTATCTATCTATCTACCTATCTACCTATCTATCTATCTATCTATCTATCTATATATGCAGCCGATAGGGGGTCTTTGGAATTTGATTCTAGGGTCCTTGGTGATTTAGTTCTACCTTTGATTGTGTGATATATGTTTTCCATTATTTATTTTGCCAGTCAGAACAAACGATCACCATTCGATCGTAGTTCATTTTTTTTGGTTGGGTACTTCAATAAAATTTAAAATATATTATATCTATGTTTTGCAATTGATCTGGGTTCTCTGGAAAGGGATTCTTGGGTCTTTCCAAATATTTAATATATGATAATGAAATTGGATTGTATTATAGGTACCTTATTATTTTCCCTATGAGGTATCCAATTGGTTGATTAAATGGGTATCATCTTACCATTGGTTATTTAATGTAACTATTTGTTTTTTACCATGCTCATAGAAAATTCTATTTGCATTATTATGTTCACTCTTAGGCAACCACTTGGTTGGCTAAATTGATATCATCCCAGTATCGGTTACGGTTATTTTATTTTATTATATTCCTTGGATTAACTGGGGTCCACTACCATTTCTGAAGGGTACCCAACCAATTGCTGGATCGAAATGGAAAAGGTATCAACCACGCTCTTGTTTTTTCTAGGGTGGTGCCTCCATATACCTTTGGTAGAAAGGCCACCAATGTTATCCCTGATGATCTTTTTTTTTTTCAAGTACTAAATTTCCCCCATTATTTCTACGTCTACATCATATATAATGCAATGTCCAACAGCTAATTTGCCGAAGTCAGGGCGCAGTAATCAGCACCCTGAGTTAGAAAAAAACATGCCGATATCCTAGGTGCTTGGTGGGGTATTGCCTAAGTAAGGTCGCAAAAATCTGCACCTAGACTTAGGCAATACAGAGGTTGCACCCTGGGATTTAGGAAAAAAAATTGCCGATCTCAGGGTGCAGAAATTGGCATGTGGACTTAGGAAGCAACCCTACTATTATATTCTACAATAATTTTTGCCGCACAGGATTCGGGGTCCTTGATTTTGAGATTTAAGAAAAAATTGCCGATCTTTTGGTTTGGAGGATCCTGTATCCATCGCAACCACACATCCGTCGCATAACAATATTTTATTTTATATTTTATCGAAGTACCCAACCCAAAAAAACCTATCTGAACTACGATCGAATGGTGATCGTTTGTCCTGACTGGCACTTCCACAAATAGAAGGGTAAATGGATGGAGAGATTAATTATCAACCCCGTCTTGGCATGACTACCGAAAGACGGATAAGAATTACCCTATAGAAGAGGTTAGACAATTAAGAAGAAAATAGTTAACTCCCAAAAAAGTTAACTACTTAGTTAACTTGGTTGTAAAAAGGTAAAAAAATAGATAGCAAATAGTTAAAATAAAGTTAACTAAATAGTTTAAAAAAAAAGTTAAAAAATAGTTTTAAAAAGTTAACTATTTTTTTAACTATTTTTAACTTTTTTTTTAACTATTTTTGGTCATTTTTTGAATATTTGTGAATTACTTTTTTGATATTTTGATTGATTCCTAAGTTTATTTTTATTATTTTTGGGATATGGAATGTTGCGAACACTATGAGAGTGAGAGTCACTTAGAGATAATGTTTAATCACTTTTTGGTGGTGCAAGCTTGCAAACACTGTGAGGGTGAGAGCCCAGTTTAGAGACAGTAGTTGAAGTTTGATTTTGACATGGTGGAATGTTAGAGACACTATGAGAGTGAGAGTCACTTTGAGATAATGTTTAATCACTGTTGGGTGGTACAAACTTGCAAACACTGTGAGGGTGAGAGCCAGGTTTAGAGACAATAGTTGAAGTTTGATTTTGACATGGTGGAATGTGAGAGACACTATGAGAGTGAGAGTCACTTTGAGATAATGTTTAATCACTGTTGGGTGGTGCAAACTTGCAAACACTGTGAGGAGAGACCCACATTTTGAGGGACCAAGCACTTTGAGAGACCCAACACTTGGAAAGGGTAAGCACTTGGAGAGACCCAACACTTGGAGAGGCCCAGCACTTGGAGAAACCTACACTTTGAGAGACAAGTGCATTTTGATAGGAACACCCGTGATTTTGAGAGACCGAATCCGTGCACTTTGATTGACACACTGCATACAATATTGATGAATCCACTGCATTATAAAGGGTATCAATTTTTCTTTTTGCAAGCCATATTCCTTACAGGGTTGTGGCTCCTAGGGTAGACACCAAAAAATGTTGAGAAACACTGCTGTGTTTCAGTGCCATGGGTAGACTGGTGCCAGATCCATCAGTCTGTGTGCTGGACTTGCAGCAGGTTATCAACCAATTTTGCAAAGAGAAGGGCAGTCATGACCTTTGGAGTTTGTTGGCACCAGAGCCATCAAAAAAGGTTACCTGGAAAACAGCACCTGATCCAGAGTGGTTGCACAAAATATCACCTTTTCTCATCAAATTGGTCTCAGTTGTGAAGAACCTTGTGGTTGCATCAAAGAAGTTGAAGACAGCCATGGTGAAGATTCAGCCCCAAGAAGTATCATTTAACAGAACATTTTTCTTGTTCCAACCCAAGTTTCTATTTTTTTCACTGGATTTCCTTGTTGTGTTTGCTTCCCCCTTGCCCACCAGTTCAAAGGACCACTCAGCAAAGACTGAACTATTCAAAGATGAAGGATGAACAATTTTTTGACCAGTTGGACCAATACATTCGTATAGGAGCTGCACAGATCAGAACACTGAAGATCAACCAGGCAGACTTCATTAGAGTTGCCAAGAAATGTAGCCAAGAAGAAAAGAAAGCCATTGAAGAAATTTTGGAGCTGGTTTCTGTGGATCCTTGTTCATTGCTGAAGTTCATAAACTTTTTCTTTATGATAGCAATGTCTTTGCATTTTTTGGTATAAATACATGTCATGATGTGATTGTACCCAATGATGTATTTCACTGCCATCTAAGGATGGAAAGCTTGAAAGTGATGAGACCCGACCTGATTCCCAAACACCACACCCTCCCATGGCAAAGGCAGGTCAAGAGCCAAGCAGCAGCTCCACTGGAGCTTGTGGAAGCCCTGGTAAGGATCTCTTTGGTGTTTCAAGCAACTTTTTCCAACAGTTTCACAGCCCAGAAAAAGCAAAAGAGACTACAAGTTGCACAGACCTGGTACTACATGAAGGCAGCAAACCTTCCTATAAAAGAAGCTTTGCTAAAAGCAACCTCACTTTGGATGAAAAAAACGACACCAGTAGGCCTACCTTGAGGAGACAGCTGGCAAAGAGCAATTTTGACTTGGACAGTCAGGATTTGCAAACACTAGCACTGGCATTAGAATGCAAGAGCCACAAAGCAACCTCTGATGTCAATGAGCCTAAGGAGATGAAGGCACCTGATGAAACACAAGTAACACCCAAGAAAAAGCGACCTGCCAAGTCAAAGTCCAAAAAGGCAGCAAAGGCCCCAGCACAGCCAGCCCCCAAATGCAAATCCAAAGCAAAAGCAAAGAAAAAGAAATCTTCCAGAGGAAGCCCTTCTGGGGGATATAAAACTACATTTCGCCACAGAAAGACCAGCAATGCATACCACCTAGCCAAGAATATGGCTTTGAGGGCTGGCATTAGCCCAGAGAGTGCAAGGATCAAAGGCAAAGCTGCAAGTGCCAAGGTTGTGCAACAGATTGAACTTGGAACTCTCAAAGAGGGTTAGAAACTAGAAGGTGAACTTGCTTCTTGACCTAGGCTGCCAGCAAAAAAAGGTGGCATCTCTTTTGAGTGCACTTCATCACCAACATTTGTTGGGAGACAGTCTGAATATCTAAGCAGCATCATACTTGAGAAGCACTTTGAGGGTGTAACACTTTGAGAGACTAGCACTTGGAGAGTGGCACTTTGGATTTACACTAGCTAGGGTCATTAGCTTACTTGACTTGGGATGGCTTGCAACCATTGCAGGTTCAAGGTGCTACAGGTGCAGCATGCAAAGGTTTCTAGACAGGTTAGGTGGCAATGGCCCAAGCTTTGTTGGTACTAAGTGGACTTGGAGAGATGGTGCCTTGTGGCATTTGACCACCTGTGCCTCTGGTTGGCAAGAGTGGAAAACTTTTGATGAAGTTGCACAGAGCTGGCACTGGGTGACTCAAGCTGACAAGGAAGCCTTGAAGGACTGTGCTTTTGCAAGGCAACTTTTTTTGGAGCAATTCTTTTGACACCACTGTTTATCTTTCTATTTGTTGCTTCACCTTGTGCCAGGAAAAGATCACCCAAATGCACATGCCAGGGCCACTGGGCAAATTACGCTTTTACACACCAAGAATGTATGAAGCTATTGGTCCCTAAATATCATTTTATGCCTGTCATCCTTCACCTGGCACTCAGGGGATGGGATAATCCATCTAGCCCATCCACCAGCTCCAGCTGATGACTTATGACCTTGGGATCTTGTAACTTGACAGAACCTGGAAATTACAAGTGACAGTGTCACACCTCATACAAGTTGTTGGCCTTGTCAGCCAAGGTAGCAAACTTCTGGCGATGGAACATCTTTCAACTAGCCTGCTGAAAATCACCTACTGAGTGGTTTCAACTTTGGGTCACCTTCTATATTTTGAAAGTAACACATTGAGAGACCACATTGAGAGGCAACACTTTGAGTGCACTTGGTGGGTAGTTGGTGGGCAATTCATGGGCACTTTCATACTGGCAAAGCACACTTTGAGAGAAAGAGATGCACTCACTTTGAGAGAAAAGTTTCATGTGTTTGTTCATATGTGAACAAAATCGCAAAGAAAATCATAGAAAAATCAAAATTTCAAAACTTCAGGTGTAGAAGTTTGATAGTAGTTTGGTAGAAGTTTCTATCAAACTTCTATACGCACACTAGAAGTTTCATTGAAACTTCTACCAAACTTCTACTAGTGTAGAAGTTTGATAGAAGTTTCTATGTTGGGGTAGAAGTTTACTAGAAACTTCTACCAAACTACTACCAAACTTCTACCCAGCCACTTGTTTTTGGTTGATATTTTCACATATTTTCTTGTACAAATGATGATTTTCCTATTCAGAATTCATGTTTTTTTTTCACAAATAAAATGCAAAGTGTTTGCATTTCCTTCTTCACAGAGGGACAATTGGTTTGAAAATGCTCCAACACAATGGTTTGACACAAATCATTTGTTGCATTGCCCAAGAACAGTGTTACTTTTTCATTCAAGTGTGATGCCCACATGGTTTGCCCAAAACATAATATTTATCAAAGTGTAATCTATTGTGTGTTGGGTTTTGTTTTGGGGACATCACACCAGAATCTTCTGTGTGAAGATTTAGTTTCACACCTTGTTGATGAAAAGACCCGCCATGGCAGAACCTCCAAATGGAGAAACAACAGTGGCTGAACAAGCTGCTGCATTGGGTGAGCAAAATGCACCAAAGACACCTGAGAAGAAAGAAAATGAGTCAAGGAAGGAAGCCACAAAGAAAGCTACACCAAAGAAAGCCACTACACCAAAGGCAGCCACACCCAAGTCACATGCTAAAAGTCCAGCGCAGCAGAAAAGGCCACAGGACTCAAGAGGCCAGCAGCCAGTGGTAAGGCCAAGGCAGCTGCCAAGGTAAAGCCTACTACCAAGGTTAAAAAGGTACCAAAGTCACAAGCAAAGGCAAAGTCAACACCAAAGGCAGCACCCAAAGCAGCTGGCAGCAACAAGCCAAAGCATACAGATGAGCAGTCAGAGCAGGAGCAGAAGAAGGAACCCCCAAAAAAGAAAGGAAAGGAAACTTTGAAGGACCAAGCAATGAAATGGGTTGACAATTTAGACAAGCCAGAAGATGAAGAGAAGGACAATACCACAGAGGCAAAGGCTGAAGAGAGAGACAGGCAGAAGGCACAAAAGTTTAGAAAGCTTGAGAAAGCAGGTGCTTTGCCTGCAGAAGTGAAGGAGGCCTTTGATGCAGCTGAAAAAAGCCAAAACCCAAGAGCCAACAAAACTCAGCTCATCAACAGCCTTTTCAGAAAAGAGGGCAACAACTTTGTGATGGTTCCCAAAGACCCTGCCTTCAAAAGGGTTCAAAAGCTGTTGGATGTGAAGTATGGAAAGGAAGAGGCACAAAGTTACTTGGATGCAAGTTTACAACTTACAAGGTACACACAGTACACACATACAAATGTATATGTATGGAAAAATCAAAGGCACATACACATGTGGTACCTTTTTGGGGAAGCAAATAGTGATGGTGAAGGGACATGTGCCACTTGCAGGCAATCATGTTGGAGCCCACTTTGAGCATCACTTTGGAAACAGTATATTCTCCCAAAAAAACACATCATACACCTGGGCCTGCCTGGTTTTGTATTTCTAGATTTCATGAAAAATGTCCATCTTCATTTTTTTAAGTAGGGGTTCATGGTTAAGATTTAGTTCTGGTTCATGTGTCATTTTGTCAAACACCATAGCCATCCAAATCAATGCTGAAAGCCTTCACCTTGTTGTGACTGATGGCTTGGTTCAGGTTTCCCCTGGTCCATCATGCTCTATGACAAGTTTGGTGGCAACGAAAGTGCACTAGAGAAAGCTTTACAGTGTGGGGATGTTGTTGTGACCAGCTACCAGGGAAAGGACTATTGTAGCTACAGCACTTTGAAGTCAGGCAGGATGAAAAGTTTGGGTGATGAAAGTGAATTGAATGATGGCCAGCACAGCTTGGATGAAAGCTCTCACCAAGTCATTTCTGACTGGTTCAAGAGCTTGAATGTTGGCTCACTGCAGCAGCAAGTGGAGGACTCAGCAGAAGCAGCAGGAGACACAGTTCTAGTTTTAACAAAGCCAAAGACTCAAGAAGTTGACTGGAACCATGTTGAGAAGGTGTTGCAGTCAGCAAAGGCTGCTCAGGAAAAGTTGATCAGGGATGGCATGAAGTTGAAGGAACAGGTGTTGGCAGCAAAGGATCAGGACTTACTTGACACCTTCAAGGGCAGCCTCAAGGATTTGCAGGACAATGACAAGGATTTGGACCACTGTTTGCTGTGGAAGGTCTGCTGGTTTGGTGTGAGGGTCACTGTGAGAGGTATATACTTTGAGAACACTTGGAGATTTGCACTTTCAGGGTTGCACTTTGTAGGGGGCACTTTGAAGGTCACACTTTGAGAGTCTCAGTTTGAGGGGTGCAGATTGAGGGCGCACAAATTTTTGAGCACTTTGAGGGAAAACTTTGAGGTATCATTTTGAGAAACATTGTTGGAAACATTGTTCTTTCATAGCCAGCCACTTTTCCCAGTTTGCAAGAAAGCACCCTTTGAAAGACATCTTGCTGTCTAGACCACATTTTGAATACAACTAGCATATGCACCCTTACATGGTCCAACCCAAACCTTATGTATTTCATCCAGCTTCAGACTGTGCTAGGAATTACCTGGAGGCAAGAAATGGGATGTCGCGAGTGGAAAGGATTGGATGACAAACCTGGCCAAGCAAACCCAAAAGGCCAATGAGAAGATTGAAGGAGTGAAAACAACTCTCAAGGTGAGGGGGTTGCTGTAGGGTAAGACCAGAAATTTGTGAGAACTTGAAATGCAGGTAAAGCAACCTATATTTTATATAAACTGAAGTTGTCATAGTTCAACTGTCTTTTTTGGATGGGTTGCAATTTTGACAATGTGTGCAACCCTGGGCATATCACAGATTCTGGCAGCTTTATCAAGAGCATTTTGCTCTGCTAGCAATGGTGTCGCAGCAAGAGATTGCAAGACTGGAAAACATTTTTTGGCATGGGTTGGGGCACTTGGTGGCTCTTGTGCATGTGCCTGAAAAACATTAGTCCAAACAATTTTGTTGTTATGATGCATTTGGCTGAGGTTGATGTTTGGAAGTTTGTGGCATTGTCTTTTTTTTTTGGTGTGCACTGCAAGGTAGAGGCTGGAAAACACCTTCCAAATTGTGAGGTGGCATATTGAACATTCATTTTGATAGCAAGATACACTTTGAGAGAAAAATAGGAAGCACACAGTGTAGGGTGCATGTTGGTTCAAAACATGGGGTGAAAGTTAAGGTAGAAGTTATTTTGGGAATTGTGGAAGCTTGGGGGTGCCACTTCAAGTCATTAATGTCACTTTGAGAGACCCACTTATGAGAGCCACTTTGAGAGACACACTTATTGGAACCACTTTGAGAGATACACTTGTGAGAACCACTTGGAGAGACACACTTCTGAGAACCACTGAGAGAGACACACCTATGAGAACCACTTTGAGGGACACACTTGTGATAGCCACTTTGAGAGCTACCTTGAAATTCAGAAGCCACATGTTCAACCACCCAGGTGCTCAAAATCAAAAAAACAATTTGCACAAAACCATGGTTTCTTTCACACAATGCAAGGTATAGTAATCAGCTTGTTTAAAACAAATAGCTTCGAAACATGAAATATATGTTCAAAACAAGCTGGCCTTGAATTAGCTCAGAAATAGGGGAAAGTGTTTTTCTTTAACATTATTTTTAAAGCTATTTTTTAACTATTTTTAAACTATTTTTAGAACTACTTTTTGAACTATTTTTTAACTAAGACAAAAACAACTTAACTAATTAGTTAACTTTTTTTTTGCCTAAAAACATCGACTTAACTATTTTTCAGAATTAACTATTTCCTTCTTAATTGTCTAACCTCTTCTATAGGGTAATAATATCGAAACATCCAAGGGACACTAACTCAAGACGATCTTTCCTTTGGGATCATTTTCGCTAGTATATACCAAGGCCACCTACCTTGATAGATAAGATAGCTAAAGAAATAAATAATGGAAAACATATATCACACAATCAGAGGTAGAACTCAATCACCAAGGACCCCAGAATCAAATTCCAAAGACCCCCTATCGGCAGCATATATTGATATATATATATACATATATATATAGATACTATTTTTATATATTTTATCAAAGTACCCAACCCAAAAAAAAACTATTTGAACTACGATCGAATGGTGATCGCTTGTTCTGACTGCACTTCCACGAATAGAAGGGTAAATGGATGGAGAGATTAATTATCAACCCCGTCTTGGCATGACTACCGAAAGACGGATAAGAAATAATAATATTGAAACATCCAAGGGACACTAACTCAAGACGATCTTTCCTTTGGGATCATTTTCGCTAGTATATACCAAGGCCACCTACCTTGATAGATAAGATAAATAAAGAAATAAATAATGGAAAACATATATCACACAATCAGAGGTAGAACTAAATCACCAAGGACCCTAGAATCAAATTCCAAAGACACCCTATCGGCTGCATATATTGATATATATATATATAAATACATATCGATAATATGTTTATATTTTGTCAAAGTACCCAACCAAAAAAAAACTATTTGAACTACGATCGAATGGTGATCGCTTGTTCTGACTGGCACTTCCACGAATAGAAGGGTAAATGGATGGAGACACTAATTATCAATCCCCATCTTGGCATGATTACCGAATGGCGGATAAGAATTAATAATATTGAAACATCCAAGGGACACTAACCCAAGACGATCTTTCCTTTGGGATCATTTCCGCTAGTATATACCAAGGCCACCTAGCTTGAGAGATAAGATAGCTAAAGAAATAAATAATGGAAAACATATATCACACAATCAGAGGTAGAACTCAATCACCAAGGACCCCAGAATCAAATTCCAAAGACCCCATATCGGCTGCATATATTGATCTATTTATTGTGAATGAACATATGATCCCAGTCATGTTCTTGCTTTCTTGTCACATGTGCATAGCCTTTCATGCATGTTCCATGAGGGTTCAACTTAAGACGTGGAAATCCTCAGCCGCTTTGGCTGACTGGCAGCTCGTGGTGGGAGGGCTGAGGAAGCGCTTGAAGCCATAGGATTGAGGTCAATCCATCCAGGTTTTGCCGAGGACAGCATTCGTCGTGGCATCAGTGCCTTTGGTCTTTCTGCTTGGAAGCCTGACAACATTTACCATCTTGGCTGCTTGTGAAAACGTTTGCAACTGCGCTGGAGCCGGTGAAGGGGATTTTCTACCAGTGTGGAGCGATTCACACAGGTAGCGGAGCTACCAATAGAGCTCCAGGGGACCTTTGATAACATCTGGTTTTCTCTGAATGTCTGAAGAAACTGCAACAGCAGCTTCAACCGATGGAAACACTGCAACATCGAACCACATGGCCACACTGGTGCCAACTTTCGATCCATCAAAGGATGACTTAGAACAGTACACACAAAAGGTAGAATTACTGAGTGAGATATGGCCTGCAACAAAGATCAATGAGTTGATCACCCGTCTCATTCTGAATACGAATGGAACTGCCTTTCAGAAACTTCAGTTGAACAAGTCTCAGCTGATGACAAATGACAAGAAGGGAGTGCAACAACTGGTTCAGCTCCTTGGCGGCCAGTGGGGAAAAGTCAATTTGGAGAAAAAGTATGACATCGTGGAGAGAGCACTTTTCCGCTGCCTTCAGAAACAAGATGAATCCAACGATTCTTTCCTAGCCCGTTGTGACGTTGTTTGGTCTCAACTTCTAGCCAAGAAGGTGCAGTTGGAAGAAATCCAATCGTACATAGTCCTCCGAGGGTCTCGTTTGAGCACAGAGGATAAGAAACGTGTCATTGTCGAGAGTGAATCATCGTCAAGTGGAGCTCTGAACATGGAGAAGGTCACACAATCTGTTCGCATGCTTGGCACTTCATTTTTCTATGAGATGATTGGTCAAAAGGCCTCCAAGGGCAAGATTTATGAATCCCAAGTGATGCTAGCTGAAGATCAAGATGACTTTCAACATGATGGGTCTGCATACGTAACTGATGAATATACCGAGGATGAGTTTGTAAGTCAGTTACTGCAAGATGATGATGAAGATGCAGCCTTGATTGCCGACTATGAATCGATGGCCGCAATGTGCTGCAAGGAGACAGTGACCTTGCTGCCACATACAACGCATACGCAGATGCCAGGAGAAGACTCTCCGACCGTTTCAAGCATAGAGGGTTTTGGCCAGTAGGTCAAGGCAAAGGTTCAGGCAAATCGTCCGCACCAAAGGGCAAAGGGAAGTATTTCAACAAGGGTTCCAAGAAAAGTCTTCAACAGAGGATCCTTGAAAGCCATTGTAGATTGTGTGGTAGGAAGGGTCATTGGCGTGCGGAGTGTCCCGACCGGACACGTTCGAATGCATCAACTGGTTCCACGAATACATCAGCAGCCATGACCGTTTCAGCAGTGTCCCAGTCCATGGAAGAGTCCAATGCGCTTCCTATGGAGTTCATGCAGCTTCCGATGGTGCATGAGGAAACCCTAGATGTTTCTAGTTTACAAGAAATTAATGTTGTTGTTTCATCCATGGAGGAAATTCGGGATAGACTCCGTAATTTGGGTAAACGGGGTAAAGGGGAAGATAATCAAAACCCGAATGAAAGCCTGCCCAGGAATGAACGAATCACAGAGCAACCTGAGAGCCGTTTTGTGGCATCCGTGAGAGAGCAGCCAGCAGTAGCGTATTTTTCCACGTATGGCACTTGTGGCATACTTGACACAGGTGCGTCGAAGTCAGTGATTGGTAGCAAATTGCTACCTGCCTTACTTGAGGGCCTTCCAGTTGAGATGAGACAGCAGGTGTTCAGGACATCATGTGACATCACCTTCAGATTCGGACATCAAGGTACCTTGGATAGCCAACATGCCTTAGTTATCCCCTTAAAATCTGTAGGTCTGGGTCTCAAGATTGCAATCGTGCCTGGTGAAACACCTCTGCTGCTGTCCAACACACTCCTGAGGACTCTCAAAGCCAGTTTGAACAGCGAGCATCACACGTTGTCCAGTCCTTTGTTGAACCAAGTTGTCAGACTTAAGCTGAGTCCCAGAGGACTTTACATGCTTGATTTGATAGATTTGCTTCGTGCCCAGAAGGATTTGCGAGGACCTCGTGATGCAATCATGGCCGAGACTTTCATGAGCAGTGATTTTTCCAGCGAAAACCAGCAAGCTGAAACGTGTCAGCCAATCCTCAGTGAAAGTCAAGGGAACAGATTGAAGTCACTTTCAACACCAACAGGCCCAGGTACACAGGTACATGTTCACATGACCAGCCGAAGCCAGGGCAGTGAGTGTAGTTTCGAATGTACAGAGATCACCCGGCCCACGCCACCATCAACCGAGTTTCTCCACCTTGTTGCAAAGGTAAGTAACTGAGATAGGCATGAGCCTGTCCAGCCGCTTAGAGCGAGTGATGAACCGCACTCCCACCGAGAACATCAAGGAGTTCCGACAGCTGGACTTGGAAACCATGAGCCAACATCGCATCACCTTGGGTCGCACTCACGTCGGGAAAACCTTTGCAGAGATGTGGGATCAGGAAAAGTCATGGACGAAATGGTTTGCCAAGACTTACGCCAGCAGCACCAAGCCCGAGCATCTGAAAGTACTGGCATATCTGGAAAAGGTGTTGGATCAGTACGAGGAGAGCCATGGCATGGTGCCTCTGAAGAATCCCGAAGATCTGCAAGGGGTGGTGTTGCCCCGATCCAAGTGCATGCCAAAGAGCAAGGCCATGCCGGCACATCAAGTGCCTGTGGAGGTGATCGAGGAGATTGCGGATCCGAACGATCCGTGGGATGTCATGGACTACACAGCACTGCAACAGGACCAGACCAACGAGATGATCGAGGCACTCCAAGCTCGTGTACTGAACATGGAAGGTGCCATCAGCGAGATCTTAGGACATCTCCGTCAGGGGAAGTGAATCATGCTCTCCGGATGTTGTGCCAGGCTGGTGACATTGATGCCGAGTTTGAAAACAACCCAACTGCCGAAGCTCATTTCAGTACCAACACACCAAATCACTTACACCACAAGTTCCATAAACTTGTTCAACAGTTCACCAGCGAATTGAAGTCCATTTCACAATCATGTTCCCAGAAAGGCACGACAATTCAAGTCTTGGAAGTCTTTTGTGGACCTCAGAGTGAGCTCACCAAGCAAGTCAATAACTTGGGGTATAAAGGGGTTAGGCATGGTTTTCAAGAGGGTGACCTTGCAACTGAAGCCGGCCGAGCCGTTCTTTTTACCAAGTTAATTGAAGGGCAACCTCGAAGTCTATGGTACAGCCGCACAGCCCTACATGTAGTCCTTGGTGTGCCTGGAGCGCAATGAATGCCGCGCAGACTGAGGCAGGGTTCAAGACAATCCAAGCTCTCCGAGAGCAACATATGTACCAACTGGCATTGGACATCGTGCTTTTCCGTTTCCAGAGACAGAATGGCAGACACATGCACTGGGAGCAACCTGCTCGATCACTCATGATCAGGTCTCCAATGTTGCGTGAAGTAATGGAAAACACATACCTGGCCCAGTTCGACATGTGTAGAGTAGGATGCATGCGTGACCCTGAAAATCAACTTTTGTACAAAAAGGGGATGGAAATCCTTACCACGTCCTATCAATTATACAATCAACTTCACGGTCGGAAATGTAATCACCTTCATCAACACCAAACACTTGAAGGAGAAACAATGTTCAAAGGTCACCGCATGAGAAGAACCGAATTTTCTGAGAATTACACCCGAAATTTTGCCCGAACATTGGCCCAAGTGCTTACCAAAGTCAAGATGATTAAGGAAGCACCACTGCATGTCGCCGAGCATGAACCATCGTTTGCAAGCTCAGGAGCCAAGAGAAGCTCCATTTCTGCCGGTGTCCCAAGTGCCAAACGGGCAAAACTGAAAGAAGGTAGCATCAAAAGTGTCTTGATCAACACAGAAATGTTGCCGTCCAAACGTAGGAGACTTTCTGGAAAGACCCAAAGTGATGATACCCCAAAATTGTTGTGTGAACAAGTTTGTAACAGGGTACTTGAGATCATGCCGAAGGTTGGACGCAAGGAGATCAATGACCCTCAAGTAAAATCCATGCTGCAGGAAGTTTTTGGGGATAAACAAGTTCAAAGAATCATTGCATGTAAGGGGACTGAAAGAACGTTAGTACCACCAAAAGATCTCATGCGAGGAGAAGCCCCGTACCGCCGTGCGGTAATCATGCAGAGAAACACACGAAATGTACTGGTTGAAGATCAATGGGAGGAATGGGAAGACTTGTCATTTAGGCAGCAGTGGAGGAGATCGCATCCAAGCTACCTAAATATAACAGTTTTCGCCTGCAATCCCAATGCTGGAGTAGCAAGCTCTGCCAAGCCAGTAATCCAGGAAGTGGAACCAGCTGGACCTAGCCAATCTGCGACCTTGGATGGGTCATCCGGAGATGCTGCAATGCCTGAACCAATGCATCCGATGCCAAGCCCAGCCAGATCAGGATCCCAAGAAACAGCATCCGAGAGTTGCGAGCCACGCCAAGTCGATCTGAACAGTTCCGACCATGGTCCCCGGTTCTTAGCCATGTCACCAGAAAATAAGAAGATAGCAATAAGGCTACATAAGAACTTAGGCCATCCTGGCCCCAAAAAATTAAGTCAGGTACTTAAACAGAGAGGTTACGGCACTGAACTGTCTCAGGGAGTTCTGGATCTGAAGTGTTCCGTATGTCAGATGACACAAAAGCCCAAACTGCAGCGACCAGCAACCCTGAAGGAAGCCTTAGAATTTGGAGACAAGATATCGTTAGACGGAGTGAAGTGGACCAACAAAGATGGCCGAGAATACCATTTTTACCATTTCATAGACCATGGCACCAACTATCATTCTGCTGTTGTTGCTCCGAATCGTGCGGAGATTCAGGACCGCTTCACTCAAGGATGGCTGAGTTGGGCTGGTACTCCAAATGAAGTGATTCTAGCCTCAGCAAAATCTTTTGAAAGCTTTCTGCAAGGCCTGGGGATCAAAGTCACGGTTGTCCCTCCAAATGCACACTGGCAGATGGGGCGTGTAGAGAGGCATGGAGGAGTGCTCCAAAACATGTTGAGTAAGTACGAACTTGAACATGAAATCACTAATTACTCACAGTTGCAGCAAGCATTAGCACAGTGCACCACAGCGAAAAATACATGCGGACTCCGACAGGGATATTCCCCAGAATGCTAGTGTTTGGAAAAAGCGCCAGAATCCCAGGTTCACTGACTGGCGATGATGAACTACCCACACATGCCAAAGCATGTGAGGAGACATCCGGAGGCTTGCGGTTTCGCGAGATGTTGGCTCGCCGAGAAACAGCTCGCCGAGCTTTCCACTCAGCTGATAATGACATGTCTCTTCGCAGGGCAGCTTTGCGTCGTGAGAGACCACACAGGGGTTCATATGAAGCTGGAGAGTGGGTCATGGTGTGGAGAGTAGTTTCCAACCAAGGATCCTGGTATGGACCCGCAAAAGTCATCCAACAGGATGGTTCCAATGCAGTGTTTTGCAACAATATGGGATCCATTCTCAAAGCAGCACCCGAGCATGTCAGACCTGTCAGCGCCGTAGAAGCTCGCCTGATCCCTCTGGATCAAATTGCCAATGACAACGGGCGGAGAAGTGAACACCGTGACATCCAGACACTGGATAGAAATGCCACTGAACCAATCATCCCTGAAAGCAATAACCTCAATAATAATCCCATCACAAACAATAACATGCTACCCAATAATCCCAATGAAATCGTACCTAACGATACCAATAATCAACCTCAAAGAACCCCAAGTCAGAGCTCAGCAGATCAACCTGACCACGAACCTGAAAATACCGAAACCCCAAGAGAGACTGAAAACGACGCCATCATCCCAGAACTAGACAATAGACAACCTCATGAAATTCCAATCCCTGATGATACTGCCGATGAGCTAGTCTGTGACCTCCTAACATGCCATGATGTGGAAACAGAAATCGGACCAGATGGACAAGACCTTTTCTGGCGAACTGAACTAGAAATTAGTCCCGAACAGCTGGCAAACGCCATGCAAAGCCAAAATCAAAATCAAGAAGAAGCTTTCCTTTTCCTTGCGACCACTGCAAAAAGACAGAGAACAGAAGTCAAACTTAGCACCCTCGATCCTGCTGAACGACAGGAGTTTGAAAATGCAAAAAATAAGGAAGTGAACAACTGGCTACAGACAGGAACAGTAGCAAGAATTTTTCGTCATCAAATTTCTCCAAAACAGATCCTCAGGTGTCGATGGTTGTATGTTTGGAAACCTCTAGAAGACCCCAAGGAAATCAGAGAAAACAATGGAAAGTCTTGAAAGGCAAAAGCGAGGTTTGTGGTTTTGGGATACATGGACCCACAACTAGAGACTATCCCCAGAGATAGCCCGACACTAGGACGAACCTCAAAGATGTTGATTGCACAGGTCATTGCATCCATGCAATGGACCCTCATGTCATTCGACATTAAAGCAGCGTTTCTACAAGGCAAAACGCAGGAAGACAGACTGATAGCTGTTGAACCCGTCCCTGAAATGGTGAAAGCGATGAACCTCAAACCAAGCGTATGGTTTAATTGACGATCCATTTTTGTGGTATACAGAACTGGACCAGCAATTGAGATCCCTGAATTTCATACCATCCCCATTTGATCCTTGCTTATACCTACTATATGAAGAAGGAAAAGATGAGCCAGCAGGTATCTTGGGGGTACACGTGGATGACGGCCTTTGCAGAGGAAACCAATACTTTCACGAAATGATCAAAAGGCTTGAGGCCAAATTTCCATTTGGGTCGCGTAAAACGCAGTCATTTGTCTTTACGGGAATAGAAATGCACCAACAAAACGGCTACTCAATTGTCATGTCTCAAGAAAAATACGTTTCCAAAATCAATCCAATTCACATCCAACCACAGCGAAAAATACAAGAAAACCTTCCAGTCACAGAGAGAGAGAGAGAGACAGGACTTAAGGGCACTGATAGGATCACTCCAGCATGCATCCGTGAACACAAGACCAGACCTGTCAAGCCGCTTGAGTTTTCTGCAGAGCGAAGTGAACAAAGCGACCGTGGAGACTCTCATCCAGGGAAACAGAATTCTTCGTGAAGCCAAGAAATACAAGGACACACACGTCAGAATTCAACCGATTCCCATGGACCAGATACGGTTTCTTGCTTTCTCTGACGCCTCATTCGCTTCCAAGAAACAACCAGAGTCACATACAGAAACAATTATCATGACCACCCATGCGGACATAGGAAAGAACCATGTATGTCCAGTAAATCCAATCAGTTGGGGCTGTAAGAAAATTCAAAGAGTTGTCACCAGCACGCTGTTAGCAGAGACCACGTCCTTGAGCACAACCTTGGACCAGCTGTCATGGTTGAGACTTTTTTGGAGTTGGATACGGAATCCCAAGACAGATTGGAAGAATGCAAACACTACACTCAATAAACTTCCAGAAACTTTTGCAACAGCCACGTTCAAGGAAGATCCCTCAATAGCAGTTACCGATTGTAAATCATTAAATCATTGTTTGATTTGGTCACTCGGACGGCTCCACCCAGTTGCCAGGAATTTCGCACGCAACTACAGGCAAGAGCCATTAAAGACTTACTGGCTGAAGGGGTAAGACTTAGATGGGTTCACACAGGGGCACAACTGGCAGATGCATTAACCAAAATTATGCAATGTCATTTTCTCCGTCACACCCTCCAATGTGGCAAATACTCCTTACATTACTAGACTGAGATCCTCAAAGAAAGGGCATGCAACAGAACCAGGGTGAAGTGGCTCCAAGCCACCACAGGTGAAGAAAGCAAAGATCAACAAGAAGAGTAGAAAATTCTTGTTTTACGAGTGTGAATGAACATATGATCCCAGTCATGTTCTTGCTTTCTTGTCACATGTGCATAGCCTTTCATGCATGTTCCATGAGGGTTCAACTTAAGACGTGGAAATCCTCAGCCGCTTTGGCTGACTGGCAGCTCGTGGTGGGAGGGCTGAGGAAGCGCTTGAAGCCATAGGATTGAGGTCAATCCATCCAGGTTTTGCTGAGGACAGCATTCGTCGTGGCATCAGTGCCTTTGGTCTTTCTGCTTGGAAGCCTGACAACATGTACCATCTTGGCTGCTTGTGAAAACGTTTGCGAGTGCGCTGGAGCTGGTGAAGGGGATTTTCTACCAGTGTGGAGCGATTCACAATATATGTATATATATATATATACATATATATATATATACATATATATATATACATATAAATATATCGATAATATTTTTATATTTTGTCAAAGTACCCAACCAAAAATAAAACTATTTGAACTACGATCGAATGGTGATCGCTTGTTCTGACTGGCACTTCCACGAATAGAAGGGTAAATGGATGGAGACACTAATTATCAATCCCCATCTTGGCATGATTACCGAATGGCGGATAAGAATTAATAATATTGAAACATCCAAGGGACACTAACCCAAGACGATCTTTCCTTTGGGATCATTTTCGCTAGTATATACCAAGGCCACCTAGCTTGATAGATAAGATAGCTAAAGAAATAAAGAATGGAAAACATATATCACACAATCAGAGGTAGAACTCAATCACCAAGGACCCCAGAATCAAATTCCAAAGACCCCATATCGGCTGCATATACTGATCTATATATTGTGAATGAACATATGATCCCAGTCATGTTCTTGCTTTCTTGTCACATGTGCATAGCCTTTCATGCATGTTCCATGAGGGTTCAACTTAAGACGTGGAAATCCTCAGCCGCTTTGGCTGACTGGCAGCTCGTGGTGGGAGGGCTGAGGAAGCGCTTGAAGCCATAGGATTGAGGTCAATCCATCCAGGTTTTGCTGAGGACAGCATTCCTCGTGGCATCAGTGCCTTTGGTCTTTCTGCTTGGAAGCCTGACAACATGTACCATCTTGGCTGCTTGTGAAAACGTTTGCGAGTGCGCTGGAGCTGGTGAAGGGGATTTTCTACCAGTGTGGAGCGATTCACAATATATATATATATATACATATACATATATATATATATACACATATATATATATACATATAAATATATAGATAATATATTTTATATTTTATCAAAGTACCCGACCCAAAAAAAACCTATTTGCACTACGATCGAATGGTGATGCTTTGTTCTGACTGGCACTTCCACAAATAGAAGGGTAAATGGATGGCGACACTAATTATCAATCCCCATCTTGGCATGATTACCGAATGGCGGATAAGAATTAACAATATATTGAAACATCCAAGGGACACTAACCCAAGACGATCTTTCCTTTGGGATCATTTTCACTAGTATACACCCAGGCCACCTACCTTGATAGATAAGATAGATAAAGAAATAAATAATGGAAAGCGCATATCACACAATCAGAGGTAGAACTAAATCACCAAGGACCCTAGAATCAAATTCCAAAGACCCCCTATTGGCTGCAAAACCTTCAAGTTTGGAGTTTGGAAAAAATTAAACATGTGGAAA